GTAACAAATATAGAAGCTAAACCAAACCCCAGAAACTGGCTTTAGTCCGGAGCTTCAGCCAGCAGGATCGCAACATTGTAAACAAAGGCCAGAAACCTACTTTCAGCAGCGGAGGCCTAAGAGCTGGAGACAAGCCTCAAAGCTAAAGCTGACCCAGAATAAAAAAAAGAAAAAGAAAAAAAGGAGCGGTTGGGAGCTTCAGTCACCCCCAGCCTGAAAACAGCCCTCAGTCCCTCACCCAGACTGGCCAGGCACCCCAGTGGGGACCCCCACCCTGATCCAGGACACCCTTCAGGGCAAACAAGCCAGCACCCACCCGGGCACCAGGCCTCTATCCTATATAGTAAAAGGGTAATATGCCTCCCGGCACCGGGATCAGCGTGACAGGGGGCAGCGCCCAAACCCCCTGATCGCCCTGTGGCTCTGTGTGTGACAGGGGGTGGGGCCACAACCTCCCTATCCACCCTGCTCTGTTCATGACAGGGGAAGATGCCCCAACCCCCTGATCAGCCCTGCTCTGTGCCTGATAGGGGGGAACTCCCCAACCCCCTGATCGCCCTGCGGCTCTGTGTGTGACAGGGTGCGGTGCCCCAACCCCCTCCCCTGCCCCCCCCCCCCCCCACGGGCCCTGCTCTGTGTGTGATGGGGTAGAGCCATAACCTCCCCATTGGCCCTGCACTGAGTGTGAGAGTGGCGGTGCCCCAACCCCCTGATCGGCCCTGCTCTGTGGGTGATAGAGGGTGGCGCCCCAACCCCCTGATCAGCCCTGCTCTGTGAGTGACAGGGGGCAGTGCCCCAACCCCCTGATTGGCCCTGCTCTGTGTGTGACAGGGGGCAGTGCCCCAACCCCCTGATTGGCCCTGCTCTGTGGGTGACAGGGGGCAGCGCCCCAACCCCCTGATTGGCCCTGCTCTGTGGGTGATAGAGGGTGGCGCCCCAACCCCCTGATCAGCCCTGCTCTGTGAGTGACAGGGGGTAGTGCCCCAACCCCCTGATTGGCCCTGCTCTGTGTGTGACAGGGGGCAGTGCCCCAACCCCCCTGATTGGCCCTGCTCTGTGCGTGACAGGGGGCAGTGCCCCAACCCCCCTGATTGGCCCTGCTCTGTGCGTGACAGGGGGTGGCGCCACAACCTCCCCATCGACCCTGCCTTGAGTGTGACAGGGGGCGGTGCCCCAACCCCCAATCAGCCCTACCCTGAGCGTGACTGAGGGTGGCATCACAACCTCCTGATCGCCCTGCTCTGTGCATGACAGGGGGCCGCGCCCCAACTCCCCAATTGGCCCTGCTCTGAGCCCAACCAGGGGCTGCACCTAGGGATTGGGCCTGCCCTCTGCCACCTGGGAGCAGGCCTAAGCCAGCAGGTCGTTATCTCCCGAGGGGTCCCAGACTTCGAGAGGGCACAGGCCGGGCTGAGGGACCCCGCCCCCTACCCCTCGAGTGCACAAATTTTTGTGCACTGGGCCTCTAGTCCTATATAATAAAATCCTAATATGCAAATTGACCAACTGGTGGAATGACTGGCAGAAGAGCTGGTTGCTATGACGCACACTGACCATCAGGGTCCAGATACTCAACACGGGCAGATCCTGTGTTGAACATCTGCTCCCCAAGAGGGAGGCGACGTGTGGTGGTGATCAGGGAGTGAGGCCTGCCAGTGGGTGGTGCCAGGCTGCCAGCCAAGGTGGGTGCCCTGATCACCCTGCCTGCTGGTTGCCCCACAGTTGGCCCTGATCGCTGGCCAGGCCTAGGAACTCTATGCTATATATTGGGAACAGTCTCTTAGATTTAAAAATTAAAACCTGGCAAGGCTACTCTAACACTGAGAACACAGATAATGCAGTGATGACATGCATGGACTCTGGCTTGCACATTTTGTGCTCAGCCCTGATTCTGACACTTATAACTGTGTGACAAAGCCAATTAAATTCTCTCTGCTTCAGTTTTTCCACCCATAAGATGGGGAAAATGGTACATGGTACTACTGCCTCAGAAGGATCATGTTATGCACTACTTTTTATAATCAGGGCAAAAAAATGTAGCTGCCCATATAACAGCAAGATGCCTTTCACCTGTATGAAAAGTATGGCCACTGGTGCATGCAGTGTCCCAGATTGTGAGAGGGATGTCTGACTGCTGGTTTAGGCCTGACATCCCCTGAGGGGTCCCAGATTGTGAGAGGACGCAGGCTGGGCTGAGGGACCGCCCCCCTCCCCACCATGCACAAAAATTTTGTGCACAAGGCCTCTAATATCTACACTAATAAAAGAGAAAAATGGTAATTGGCGTACGACACTACCCTTTTCATTGGCTAATCAGGGCTATATGCAAATTAACTGCCAACTAAGATTGGCAGTTAACTGCCAACAAGATGGCGGCTAATTTGCATATGTAGGCACAATGCAGGGAGGCGAAAGGGAAAGCAGGAAGAAGCCCCCTGCCACTGACAGTGATCGGAAACCCAGGGGGGAGCTAAGAGCTGGGGGGCAGGGCAAAGGCGGCCCTGGGGCCGCCTTTGCCCTGCCCCCCAGCCATGATCGGAGAATCAGGCGCCTTTGCCGCCCTGGCCAGTGATAGCAGGAAGTAGGGGTGGAGCCAGCGATGGGAGCTGGGCACGGTCGAAGCTGGCAGTCCCGGGAGCTAGGGGTCCCTTGCCTGGGCCTAAAGCAGAGCCCACAATCGCGGGGCCGCTGCCACTGCGGGTCCCCGCTGCCCGGGCCGGACGCCTCTGCCGGAGGCCTCAGGCCTGGTCAAGGGGCGGATCCGGTGATTGGTGATCGGAGGGTGATGACGGTCAACTTCTCTGGCCGAGGCATCAGGCCTGGGTGGGGGGCAGAGCTGGGGATTGGGGGGATATGATGGTCCCCTTGCCCAGGCCTGAAGCCTGGGTCAGAGGCGTCAGGCTTGGGCGGGGGGTGGAGCAAGCGATCAGAGGGAGATGGGGGTCCCCTGCCCAGGCATGATTCCTGGGCCAGAGGCCTCAGGCCTGGGCGGGGGCCAGAGCCAGTGATCGGGGGGAGATGGGGGTCCCCTGTCCAAGCCTGACACCTCTGGCGGAGGCGTCAGGCCTGGGCAAGGGGCCGATCCTGCAATTGGAGGGTGATGGGGGTCAACGCCTGAGGGCTCCCAGTATGTGAGAGGAGGCAGGCTGGGCTGAGGGACACTCCCCCCCCCCCACACCCAGTGCACGAATTTCGTGCACTGGGCCCCTAGTTTATATATATAATTGATTTCAGAGGGGAAAGAAGAAGGAGAGAGAGAGAAACATCAATGATGAGAGAGAATCATTTATTGGCTGCCTCCTGCATGCCCCACACTGAGGATGGAGCCCTCAACCCAGGCATGTGTCCTGACTGGGAATCGAACCAGGACCTCCTGGTTCATAGGTCAATGCTCAACCACTGATCCATGTAGGCCCGACCGGCTTCTGTGTTGTAAACTAGTCCACTGGGCATTCGATATAGAGGAAACTTCTTCTCTGGAACACTCCAGCCTGGTTCCCATGACCTTCCTCCTGCTCTTCCTACCCTCAACCGCTCTTCTTCCCAAAGCTCTGAATGTCAGTGCTTCAACCCTGAGGCCTCCCACCTCAGAGCCTCGGGACCTCCTCAGAGGGCTCAGAACACACCTCCTAACAGTGAACATTTCGGGATTTCAGAAAAGAGCCCATCTTCCCTTTTGAGTGTGGGTCTTCTGCATGTACTGCTGTCCACCGAAGGCCCAAGCTGAGAACATGGGCTGACCCCAGCCTTCCCTCCCACCCGTACCCGACCTGGTCGGTCCTACCTCCCACACCCCCGTCCACTGCAACTGAGCTGATCCTCCCACCACTGGTTTCGACCCCTGAAGGGGGATCTCCCTGCCTGACCACCTCCGTCTTCTACGTTGTAGCCAAAGTGACCATTAGCACGAACACTTCCCAGGCCATTTTCCCACTCAGAACCCTTCAGGTGCCTCCAGGATAAAAGCCCAACTCCTTGCAAAGGCCTCTGCCCTGCTCCCATGCGGGCCCCGCACGAATCATCTTCCTGCTCCCCACACATCGCCAGGGGCTTCCCTGAGCTCCCCTATCTCTGATCTGCAGGAAAGGAAATGAGGTAGCAGCTATGCTCAGCCCGGTTTTCTGGAAGGGGAAACTGAGGCTTGGAAGATTCAGGTCAGTGGCTGAGCCAGAAGTGCAGGTGGGCTGACACCTGAGCCCCGAACCACACGGCCTTCCTCAGTAAACATTTTTTGAATAGATGAGTATTAAATAAATCTATTCTTAAACTCACAAAATACCCGAGTTCTTAGTAAATGAACAAAAGTTTGCTCACATATTAAAGATAAAAACATCCAATCATACAAGCAGACGATAACAGATTGCTAGGACATGAAACAATATTTACCCCACTTATTTTTACTTGTTGGTCAGCTTCTGAGCTTAGGAAGCAGGGCGAGGGACCCATCGTACCCTGGTCTGGTCCTGGAGCTTGCTGCCTGCCCCCCTGGCTTTGGCCTGGGTCTCTGAGATCAGTTCCCGTGACAAAGCATCACCTTTTCTCCACGAAAAGCCACCATTTCTCAGCATTAACAGGATCAGTTCCATATCTTTCTCTCGGAAAGTTCCAGTAAGTTTTTTTCAAAATGTCAAAGATGAGGAAAGACTGTACCAGGTGGGAGTCATACAAATGGGCAATGATGGTGAACAGGTTGCCGCACTCTTTGCGCTCACTTTCCTTTTTATAGACGCCATCAAACTTCCTCAGGGCGGCCTCCAGACTGACCTGCACAAATGAAACAGACGAACGTCATGGAAACACCTGACAATCATGGCAGCAAGTTACTCTCAGGGATCCTTCTTTTCAATCAGCTGAAATGTTTACAGGGAAAGAGGCAGTACTTTTAAACTTAACGCATAAATACACACATGGTAGGATACACACTCCCACAGGGCATATGCTTTAAAAACCAGTCTGGAGCTTTGTTTTGAGCGGCGCCGTCTGCTCGGAGGGTTCGTAGCAAACGGCTTCATCCCGGGCCCCCTCGGCCGCCGACCTCTCCCGGCGGTCGAGGAAAGATGGTGGGCCGGAACAGCGCCATCGCCGCCGGCGTGTGCGGGGCCCTCTTCATCGGCTACTGCATTCACTTTGACCGCAAGAGACGGCGTGACCCCAACTTCAAGAACTGGCTGCGAGAACGAAGGAAGAAAGAGAAGCTTGCCAAGGAGAGAGCTGGACTGTCCAAGTTACCTGACCTTAAAGACGCGGAGGCTGTTCAGAAGTTCTTCCTTGAAGAAGTCCAGCTGGGGGAAGAGTTACTCGCTCAAGGGGAGTATGAGAAGAGTGTGGACCACCTGACCAACGCGATCGCGGTGTGCGGCCAGCCCCAGCAGTTACTGCAGGTGTTACAGCAAACTCTCCCGCCACCAGTGTTCCAGATGCTTCTGACCAAGCTGCCAACAATTAGTCAGAGAATTGTAAGTGCTCAGAGCTTGGCTGAGGATGATGTGGAATGAGAAACAAATGTCAACATGATCTCAATTAAAAATATTTTTAAAATCTTGAACCCCCCCCCAAAAAAAAACCCCAAAACCCCCCAAAACAAGTCTGAGTGTATAGTATTGATGCACAGCCACACGGACAGGTGGATGAAGCACAGAGCAATCCACCACAGCCACAGACTGGGACTTCCCCTGTAAGGACACCCTTTCATCTTCTAAGTCAAGGTGGACTGCTTTGGCCAGCAGCCATCGGGTTCCTTGGAAAAAGACCACCACACAGCTCTGTCACAGAGACAGTGTAGGTGAGGGAGAGGGTCTGGGAGGGCTTCACCAGTCCTGGGCCCGACTCCTGCAGCTGCACCTGGGACAGGACACCTGGGGACAAGGAGCATCAGTCCCTGTCAGTCACGTGCAGTCACAGCCATCCCATGACCCCTGTCTGACCCCTGAGCCCCTCACCTGGGGGGGCTGTCACCAGGCACATAAGAAGACCCAGCAGTCTCATCTTCTTCTGGACCACAGCTCTGTCTTCCCAGAGACTTCAGCCCTGTGTGAGGAGAAAGCTGTGAGTTTGCTCAGCCCAGGAGAGGATTTACCTTGGAGCTTGATCAGATATTTGCATGTGGGGAGCTCTGTTCCCATAAGTAGGGAGGGACTGAGGCCAGTCTGACATGTCCTTCTGGGTCCTGAGCACATTCCTTCTCCTGTACTCAGTGGTGTGGGTCTGGGATGGGAGGTCACTTGGGGTATTGGCACCTTGGAGTCAGATCAATGGATGGCTCCATCTTTCTAAGTTTAAAAATAAATGCCACACTAGATGAGTGGGTCACACTATTTTAATCTTAAGGATCATTCCTTTTGCTGATAAAATGGATTAATATGATATACAGAAATACTGCCAAGTGCAAAGAAACATTAAATAGGTTCAATATAGTAAGATTGGATAATCATAATCTCTCTATATAAAAGGCTAATATGCAAAGTGTCCCCTCAGGTGTTCCACTGGGAGTTCAATTGCTTGCTATGAATGCGCTGACCACCAGGGGGCAGTGCGGAACAAAAGATGGCCCTGGCCAGCAGCTGGAAGGAAGGACCAAGCCAGCAGCTGGAAGGCCCCGATCGGCCCTGATCTCTGGCCAGGCCTAGGGACCCTACCCGTGCATGAATTTTGTGCACTGGGCCTCTAGTTTCAGATAAAATAACATTATAATGTCAATTTTGATATAAAAATAATTGTAAAGTGAAAAAATCCTTCCCTTGACCTAACTGAGGTTCCTGGGCCTACAGGTGATAGTGCAGGGGCTGCCTCTGTCTCTGTCCAGTTCCAGGGAACAGGCCATGCTGGTGAGAACCTGCCTCCCATGAGTCCAGCCCAGGCCATGAAACAGAGACAGGTTTATACTCTGTGTCCCTTCTCTTCCCTCACTTCTCCCAAGTAGTCAGCCCCCTCCCACAGGTGAGCAGCTCAGGAAGGTCTCCCAGGTCCTTGACCACAAAGAGGCTCTGAGACTCTGGAATCATCTTCTCCCAGAGGGACATGGGCACTTACTCTGGACCAGCAGGTGCTCTGACATGGGTGTGGACATGTACCTTATCCTGGTCACAGAGAGTCATTTTGAGACCCGCCCTCCCAGTGTCCACCTGTGGGGAAGGGAATCTGGAGTCTGGTTTTCTGGGAAGGGGACTGTGAGCTCATGATGGGCTAAGAGTACAGATGGAGGGAGAATCAAAGTGCAAAGCTGTTGTATCTTGTATTAAATCACTTAACTGACATTTACCTAATAATTAGATATCAGAAGAAGGGGTTTTGAACTTCCCTGAAGAGACCCGATTCTGTGTGTTAACAACAAAGGTGGTCATGAAAGTCCAGGTGGTCTCTGAGTTCCCTTGAACTCACTCACCAGGTAAGTCAGGGACAGGGGCCACCTGGGTCATGAAGCACATTGGAATTAGGTCAAGGACAACCTCATTTGAGCAGAAGAAATGTTGGACTAGATGAGTTGATTACATTGGTAAATTCTCATTCATCTTCAAATATACTTCATAGGGATTAGCATTTGTTTAGTTTCTGAAATCCAGCACTTACACATATCTATAATTACCAAATGTTTATCATTGTCATCTTACTAGTATATGCTAATTATGTTCACTTGGTGTAAATAATTTTGAAAAGTACAGCTGTTTTTTCTGTCACATTGTCTTCACTTATGAGGTTGCTTTGATATGAGTAACTGCTTCCCAAGCACAGGAAAAAGGGAGACTCTTGATTCTTGAAGTTGGAACCTTTTTCTTTTTTTAAAAAAAAATATATTTTATTGATTTTCCACAGAGAGGAAGGGAGAGAGATAGAGAGTTAGAAATGTCAATGAGAGAGAAACATCGATCAGCTGCCTCCTGCACATCTCCTACTGGGGATGTGCCCGCAACCCAGGTACATGCCCTTGACCGGAATCAAACCTGGGACCCTTCAGACCGCAGGCCGATGCTCTATCCACTGAGCCAAACCGGTTTCGGCTGGAAACTTTTTCTTGTGTTATAACACACTGTACTAACTCTGACCTTATGCAAGCCCATGGCATATTGCAGGCACCTCAAACTAATCACAGGAGAAATTACCATATTTTAAGAGAGAGAAAATAATAGAAATAAGATCAGTGATTACGCATGTGTACCACTGTGAATCTTTCATATGTTGAAATGATATGGCAGCCTGTTAAGTGACCTGATTTCTCAGTCTAGTGTTGTCAGTGATGTTGGGGTTCAGAGTAAGGGGAATTGGAGAATTCCTAGCATACATTTTCTCACAGGAAAGGGAACTTCAACCTTGTCAGGAATTCCTCATCCCAGCCTCCCTCTGCCCTGTCCCTGGGGATGCTCACTGTGGTGAGAGGGTGTTAGGCTCTCTCCCATAACATACAACATCCTTAGTGTGTAATACACACATTCTCCCATCAGGCACATGATTCGGTGATATTTCTGGATGTCAACTGGTATTTGTATTTTAGAATCTAGTAGTGTCTGAGCTGGTCTCATTTGGAGTTCCTGACATCTAAGTCTGGCTGCTACTATCCCCGACCAACATTGCCTTTTATCTCTAGATGATCACTAGGGCCCACTACCCATAAGTGGAGGACTATGACTGATCCTCACTTCTCCCACGTAGTGATTTACAGAATGTATTTAATATCATGGCATCATATTTTCTTTCTGCTTCCTTTTCTTCGTTCCAGTAAAGTGTTTTCTGGATGCAGGTGTTATAGTGGAGCTTACACATGTCCTCTAAGACCCAGAGACTGAGGCTTCATGATTTTATCACAGTGTGGTGGGCAGGGACCTGCACCAACTAGATTTTTGGCTATAGGAGTTTCCTATGGCTGCTGAAACAAATTACCACAGCTTAGTGGTTTAAAGCTACACAGATTTATCTTTTTTTTTTTTTTTTTTAATAGTCCTAGAGATCAGAAATCCAAAACCAGTTTCACTGGGCTAAAGACAAGAGACAGGGGAAAATCTGTTTTCTTACCTTTTTCAGCTTCTAGTGGTCACCTGTGTCCCTGGCTTATGCCCATTTTCTCCATCTTTGAAGCATATGATGTTAATCTTTGCTTTCATCATTACACCTTTCTCCTCTGACTCGGACTCCTCCTGCATCCCTCTTCTAAGAACCAGTGATTACACCAGCCTCCCCTCCTGCTCCTTCTCCCAATAATCCAAGATACATTATCCCCTCTCGATTCTTAACTTAATCACATATGCAAAGTCTTTTTTACCTACAGGTTAACATTCACAGATTCCATTAGGACGTGGACACATTTGAGAGACTATTGTTCAATCTACCATTCTTGTCTGTTTTCAGTGTCTGCCTTGGCTGCATAGAACCACTTTACCTCAAGTCACACCCTCTCTGGGCACTTGTGTCTGGTGGCTGAGCGGAACAGGTATAAATTGTAGGAAATGGACCTCTGTGATGTAACTCCAGCATGGTCGGCTTTTGATGGGATTTGCTGAATTCCTCCAGGACAAACAGAATGTAGTGGGGAGGGAAGAGGAACAAAGAACTGTGCAGGGGGGGTGGGGGGTGGGGGGCAGCATCATGGTGGAAACCCTTGAGGCATCTGCTTCAGCTAGACAGGGTGGTGGTGGTGGTGGTGGTGGGGGGGGGGGGGGGCGGGCAGGGTGTGTGTGTGAAGGCAGCTAGAAAGGCCTTCAGCCCAATTTTTCTAAATGGCCAATGGGAGACAACAAGACCTAGGAGACCTATGAGGAAACAGGTGACCCCATAGTACTCAGCCAATGAGGACTCGAGGAGGGACTAAATAGATAGGCTATGCTCCCTGCACCAGGTGTGCCTGTACAGTGGGATGGACACCCGCTCTTGAGAACGTATTAAAAGTCTCGTTTTCCCCATACTTCTGTCTTTGAGCCCATTATTTGAATTCAGACAGGTGAGCATTTTCTCACATAAGTGCCTGGCCATTTTGGCTCGGCCCAGGCTATTCTGAATGGAAATACTTGCTCCTGGGCTTCCTGCCAAATTGGCGGAGGCTTTGCTGGATCTGTGTCATGGTTTAATTTCTTCCTCTCCCCAATCCTATTGTTTTTTCCTTTCCTTTCATAGATGTTGATCTTTAATCAACATCTTATACCTCCAACTTTGGTCCATTTGCTGCTAAAGAACTCAAGTTGCTGGCAGTTAGTGCTGAGCGTAGGCTGGAAAAACAGTGGATAAGATGGTTTTTTATAGCTGGATCATTCATTGCCTGGCAGACAATGAAGAGCTCAAACAGCCCTTGGCAAAGTGATGGCTCATTGTTAAGCTTTCACATTTAGTGAGCTGGGAGGGTAAACTGGCTGAAGGTAATGTACTAGTGGATAAAATATATTAGGTGTTTGAGATTTACAGATTAAAGACCTAATATACCTTTATACAGATAACAAGATTGGATGGCTATTACTAAGTTCTTGGCCTGATAACTATTTTTGTAAATAACATTTTATTGGAATACAGCAGTGGCCATTCATTTACATATTGTTTATGGCTACTTTGACACTATAATGGCAG